CAACAAAGTCTTTTATTAATGAACATTCAAACAGAAACTTCTCTTGTCTTCAGTAAAGTTAAGCAAATGATTCCAAGCTTTTAGGCAACTGGTGAATTCCTAATCTTGCCCACGAAGGACAGGCAACTGTCTTCAATAACTTCTTCTTTAAAGGAAAATCCCCTTTTTAACTTCTCCCAGGCTGACTGTAATCTAACCCTTACTGATGTGGGCTCCGCTACCAGGTCGAACTGCATCTCGAACGCCGAGTGGACCTACCAGCAAGACAGTAGATATTCTCCAGTTGGAGTTCTTTGGTCTTTAGGGCTGTTTTCCTGGAAATTCTTTGGAGACTCTTAAGACCTTTCTCCCCGGGAAGTTCTTAAGGGTTGAAGCTTTTGTACAGGGGAAGCTTGCACACATCCTATATATAAATTTACCTTGCTGAGACTAACTAAAAATGGCTCCCTTCCCAATTGCCCTGAGCAAGGGGCGGGACCAAAACTTAACAATGATGGACAGGTGACTTGCCCTATGACTGCAACCAAAGAAGCCACCTATCTGCAGAGTCCCTGAAACCTAGGACTGCAAGCAAACATTTAATACAAAGCAAATAAAGTTGGAGCTCCTGGTACAGCTGTACCAGAACAACTACATCGGCTATTGCTGCAAGTAATGACAGTGTGAATAAATTGCCAATATTTGCTTGAGATAGTGCTTGCAGTTCTGGAGGGACTCTTAATTTTTTGCATCTCATAGACTTAGCATGGGGATTTGGTTAACCAGTTAAAATTCATGAGTAAACCAGGTTTTTTTAAAAAAAATCTGAAACATTTCGGGGGGGGGTTGAACCCCTAACCCCCCCCCCCCCCCCCCCCCCCCCCGCTACAGGCCTGATTAAGGGCGATGCTGTACAAGTACGGTAGAACAAAATCCATTCATCAGGATTCGTGGACTTAATGCGGTCCCAATGGTGAGGTGAAGGGGCGCCTCACCGGGAAGGTGTAAGTGAAGGGCGGAGCAAGCTGCAGGCGTCCGGGGCGCCCGGGGTATGGAAAAAAGAGATAGAGTGGCTCTGGGCCCAGAAAAACACAACTCCTTTACCTGTCTGGCCTGTCCTTGTATCCTATTACCGTACCTCCTCCTCTGCCTCTCAGATCTCGCTCCTGAAGACTGCAGTGAAGCAGTGCAGGTGCGCATGTGCGAGATCTGAGAGGCAGAGAAGGAGGTACAGTAATAGGAAAATTACCAAATTGAAATCAAATCTGATGTTTTTAAATTTTTATTTGGTGTGCGTTGGAAGAGGGGTAGTCTTATATGCCGAGTATATCCCAAACTCTATATTTTGACTAGAAAAGTTGGGGGTCGTCTTATACGCTCAGTTGTCTTATATGCCGGAATATATGGTAAAGGCTTTAAGAGCAATCCTATAATCCTGTGTTCAAAGTTCTTTCCTTTAGTGGTTGAAATCTGGTCGCAAAATTGTGCTTAGACGAAGTCACCATTTTTGTTCCCTCATTTATTTATTTATCATGTCATCAGCAACCAGACATTTGTATTACATTTTTAACAAAAACAAACAAACAGAAAAACACAGAATTTGCAAGCTTGGAAGTTGATTAAATGTCCTTTGACAGTAGCTGGACACTTGGAGCGCCTCTGATGTTGCCGCAAGAAGGTCCTCCATTGTGCATGTGGCAGGGCTCAGGTTGCATTGCAGCAGGTGGTCAGTGGTTTGCTCTTCTCCACACTCGCATGTCGTGGATTCCATTTTGTGGCCACATTTCTTAAGATTGGCTCTGCATCTCGTGGTGCTAGAGCGCAGTCTGTTCAGCGCCTTCCAAGTCGCTCAGTTTTCTGTGTGCCCAGGGGGGAATTTCTCATTTGGTATCATCCATTGATTGAGGTTCTGGGTTTGAGCCTGCCATTTTTGGGCTCTCGCTTGCTGAGGTGTTCCAGCGAATGTCTCTATAGATCTTAGAAAACTATTTCTAGATTTAAGTCGTTGACGTGCTGGCTGATACCCAAACAAGGGATGAGCTGGAGATGTGTCTGCCTTGGTCCTTTCACTATTGGCTGCTACTTCCCGGCGGATGTCAGGTGGTGCAATACCGGCTAAGCAGTGTAATTTCTCCAGTGGTGTAGGGCGCAGACACCCCGTGATAATGCAGCATGTCTCATTAAGAGCCACATCCACTGTTTCAGAGTGGTGAGATGTATTCCACACCAGGCATGCATACTCAGCAGCAGAGTAGCATAGCGCAAGGGCAGATGTCTTCACTGTATCTGGTTGTGATCCCCAGGTTGTGCCAGTCAGCTTTCATATGATATTGTTTCTAGCACCCACTTTTTGCTTGATGTTCAAGCAGTGCTTCTTGTAAGTCAGAGCACGGTCCGGAGTGACTCCCAGGTATTTGAGTGTGCTGCAGTGCTCCAGTGGGATTCCTTCCCAGGTGTTCCCTCATTCACTTGATACATAGCCAGCATCAGAACTCCACCAGCCTGAGAGCATAGGTATATCCACATTATAAAATTGTAGCATTATGTTCTTGCTTTTATTGGCATGGCTCCATTGAATAGGATGTAGTTTTGTTGAGACTTAAAATTCTTTCCCAGATGCGGAGTAGAGCAGTGTTCTCTATCAGATAATGCAAAGTATCTTACTTGAAATCCTAGAATCACAGAATCAGAAGAGACGGCACAGGTCATTCAATTTAATCCTTTGCTAGGGAGGAATGCACGGTCATTGCATGGTAGAATTAATTAAAGTATGGAGACTCATTTAATGAAGTGGTAACAATAAGGTGGAACCATGAGAGTGAAAATGATACCCAACTGCTTTCATTGTACACTGTGGATACCTCCATAGCTGGTGCGCTAAACATCTCCCAACTGGATGAAGCCATTGTAACTAAAGTGGCATCAGTAAGATTTTTTTTGTCATGTTAGAAGCAACTTGAGAGACTGCAAGTTGCTTCTGGTGTGAGAGAATGTCTGTTTGCAGAGACGTTGCCCAGGGGATGCCCAGATGTATTATTATTATTATTATTATTATTATTATTATTATTATAACTTTATTTGTACCCCGCTGTGCCATACTGTGGGATGCTTCTCTCATGTCCCTGCATAGGAAGCTGGAGCTGACAGATGGGAGCTCACCTCATTTTGTGGATTCAAACTGCCAACCTTCAGATCAGCAGTTCAGCTGGCACAAGGGGTTAACCCATTGTGCCACTGTGGCTTCATCAGTAAGATGGAGCTATGCCAGTCTGTAAGGGAGATAAGGTTCTTTTATTGCATGTGACAGGGGGGAACCTTTCTTTTCATAGATTCATAGAATCAAAGAGTTGGAAGAGACCTCATGGGCCATCCAGTCCAACCCCCTGCCAAGAAGCAGGAATATTGCATTCAAATCACCCCTGACAGATGGCCATCCAGCCTCTGTTTAAAAGCTTCCAAAGAAGGAGCCTCCACCACACTCCGGGGCAGAGAGTTCCACTGCTGAACCGCTCTCACAGTCAGGAAGTTCTTCCTCGTGTTCAGATGGAATCTCCTCTCTTGTAGTTTGAAGCCATTGTTCCGTGTCCTAGTCTCCAAGGAAGCATAAAACAAGCTTGCTCCCTCCTCCCTGTGGCTTCCTCTCACATATTTATACATGGCTATCATATCTCCTCTCAGCCTTCTCTTCTTCAGGCTAAACATGCCCAGCTCCTTAAGCCGCTCCTCATAGGCTTGTTCTCCAGACCCTTGATCATTTTAGTCGCCCTCCTCTGGACACATTCCAGCTTGTCAATATCTCTCTTGAATTGTGGTGCCCAGAATTGGACACAATATTCCAGGTGTGGTCTAACCAAAGCGGAATAGAGGGGTAGCATTACTTTTCTAGATCCCTAGATCAATCCCACCACTGCCACCACTATAATGAAGATTGTGTATTCTTACAGGCAGGAGAGACAACACACCATCTCTAATCTCTTCTGTCAGACCCAAAGCGCTGCAACACGAGTGTTGTTGTTATAATGTGAGTGAGTAATGGTAGGTTTTCTGCCACCACCCAAAATTACAGTTTGAGGAATTGTCTTGTTGTTGTACTTGAGGTAAAATGTTCCTATACACCGGTTCTTCCTTTTGGCTCCCTTTCTGGTGACTGAGCTGTAGAGATGTGGAGGCTTACTGGATCTAACCTTATATGATGAAACAAGGCTGAGGCAGATTAACAGTAAACTAGAGAACAGGTTTATTGAAATATTTGAAGCAAACAACTGACTACAACGAGGTACATACGCGTAATTTGTTCCTGAAGCACAGACTTATTAAGCAAATGGTTTCTTTAGAAGGAGTAACTTTTCTTTAACATGAGCTACTTTCCTCACACTATCCTGTAATATGTAACAGTGCGTTTCTTTGACCAGCCGCCCCTGGCTGCCTACCAGAGTATCTAGGTTTCCCCTGGACTACTCTGAACCTTAGGGAAATAAACACACTTGTATTCTGTCCTAATACAAGTAAACAAGTCTTCACTTTGACTGCCCTAGTCAAACTATACCCAAGCACATGCTCTTTAATTATTCCCTAACAGGCTAATTCCTAGCTCACTAAGAAACTCTCTTCTCCCTGTCTGAAATCCTAATCTTTTCTCTGCTAGATCAAATCCTTCCTCCCTTCTGTCAGAAATGACAGCCTATTTACACTCTCCTTCAACTCCTCCCCATGGGGTCTGAACCAATCAGGAGTTAGCTGACTCCTCCCCTTGCCTCTCTGCCTATACCATCATGTCTGCCATCCTGAGCTGCCTTCCCAACATGGAGGCCAGCTCACTGACTTCCAGGCTGCGGCCTACGAAGAAAAGGTATGAGTTCATTACATAGTCAAACTGGAATCACTATAGAGTGTGGGTACATCTGCAGTTGGTACAGTAACAAGACATAGCTTTTTCTGGATTGTGAGGTGCTCTGTAGCTTTCAACCCTGTTTTGAATCTATTGTTTTTTCCTTGGATAACAAATGCATTTTTTCTTGAAGCTGGTCAGCAGGAGAGTGGAGTGCTTGCAGCAGGTCCTGTGGTGGAGGACAACAAAGTCGTCAGATCCAGTGTGTCCAGAAAAGGGCTTTTCAGAAGGAACACATTGTGCCTCATACACTTTGCCCAGTTACAACTCCAGCACAGATACAAACATGTAATACTCAAGAGTGTCTGCCGGAATGGAGTCCTGGACCATGGTCTCAGGTAGTTAAAAGAAATAGCTGATGTTAATTACAGAGTGTTATTATAGATAAGAACATAGCAAGACCACGTTGAACCATTCCAAAGTTTTGTCTCATAAGGGATCAAATTCTCCCTTATAAAACCTGCCCATGCTTTGGGATGAGTTGGGGAGACTCTTCTTTCGGTTTTACCACTGTCACGGGTTCATCTGGCAGATATACAGGAGAGGACTTCTATGAAACTGGTGGTAGTCATTGCTCATAATTTGTAGTGATACTGATTGGAATGATTAAGTTGTGAGAGAAATTGTAGCTGGAAAAGAGAAAGAGGAAGCAGCCCAACTGTTCACGCCACCACAGAGTGTGGGCAAGTTTTGGAACTTCAGAAACTTTTTTAAAAATGTGGAACAAGACTGCTTTAAGGTGAATTGACCCTGTGCATCATGTAGACACCATAGAAGCCATTCATCTTATTTTCAATTCATTTGGCCCAAACAGATGGGCTTTATGATTTTACACTAATGGTTCCCATGCTGTGGTCCGTGGACCACCAGTGGTCGGCAAGAGCTAAAATGTAGTTGGTTTGTTGTAGATTTTTTCGGGGTATATGGCCATGTTCTAGAGGCATTCTGTCCTGACGTTTCACCTGCATCTATGGCAAGCATCCTCAGAGGTAGTGAGGTGTGTTGAAACTAGGAAAATGGGTTTCTATATCTGTGGAATGACCAGGGTAGCTAGATTTTGTTAAAATGAACAAAATCTGGCTACCAGTACTAAAATTGAACAAAATGAAAATGAACAAAATCTGGCTACCAGTATTAAAACACTAAAATTACAACAGCAAAACAACAGAGAGGAAACGATCAAGGACATCTAATCACCTCTCAACAAAAGATTGCCCCAGGCACCAACAAGCCACACCAAAAAACTGCCAGGCCATGAAATGCTAATCAAGGTGGTCAGTTGAAACATTCGCACCTAGCCTAAATACAAAGAATTATTAAAGAAAGAGGAGTGATGGTAATGAAAACACAACAGGAAATGAATATGATAAACAAAAAAATATCCTGGTATCAATATAGACAAATAAAGGAATGCTATAAAATAGACAAAGAAAAAGGCTTTCAAGAACACGATACCTTTTGGGATACCATACTAAATACAGAAAGAAAAATAATAACAAAGATTTACAAAAAATTATCGGAATGGAATACAGAAGCAGAGGGAGAAAAAAACTGTATGAGAAGATGGTCAGAAAATTTGGGAAAAACAATTAAAAAAGAAAAAAAGAAATATGGAAAACAAAAATCAAATATACACAAGCAACAGATCTCAAAGAAAATTGGATCAAAGTAGCACACAGATGGTACATGACACCTAAGAAACTCGGAAAATGTTATAAAAACATAAACACTAAATGTTGGAAATGTGGAAAGTTAGAGGGGACGTACTTCCATATGTGGTGGTCGTGTACCAAGGCCAAGATATATTGGAGAAAAATACAGAAGACACTACAGGAAATACTAAATATAAGAATTCCATTTGAACCCGAAATATTCCTATTAGGAATAATAGACCAAGAAATAGAGAAGAATACTGATAAAATCCTCTTTCTGTTAAATATAGCAGCAGGAATTTGTTATGCGAAACTATGGAAAAAAGAAGACATACCAGAAATTAGCGATTGGTTAGAAAAAGCGATAGATATCAAAAACATGGATAGGTTAACATATTTAATCACAAAAAGTAAAGGGACCCCAATAAAAGAGACCGACTGGACAAAGGTAACAAACTACTTAAAACAGAGAAATGGACACACAATAACATGAAGGGAAGAGAAAACAAGATTGAAGAAGGAGAGAAGAAAGAAAGAAGAGGAAAAACCACCAGAAAGATACTCAGGAAGTCAACAAAGGAGCTATAACAATCTGCTCCTATTTTTTAGCTCTATTTTTTTTATTTGCTTTTCTCTCTGTATCTGATTAATTGCCTTTCAACTATCATCTTTTTTTAATTCGTTTTTGCACCACTATTTGCACTATTGTTTCTCTGCACAAAATTTAAAAAATTCTGTCTTTCAATAAAGATGATTATAAAAAAAAGAAACATTCACACCTAGCTCCAACAGACAAGAGTTCTTTGTCCCACCCTGGTCATTCCACAGATATATAAACCTATTTTCCTAGTTCCGACAGGCCTCACTACCACTGAGGATGCTTTCCATAGATGCAGGCGAAACGTCAGGAGAGAATGCCTCTAGAACATGGCCATATAGCCCGAAAAAACCTACAACAACCCAGTGATTCTGGCCATGAAAGCCGTCAACAATACATTAAAATATGTTTCATGGTCTCACCGTTACAACACTGTAGCAACAAGAGCGACTGATCTCACAAAACCCTTTTATAGTGCCAGGTTTTTAATAAATATGGTTTCCTGTGGGTGAACAGATGGTGACTATTGGATGGCATATGTTTTGCATCAAAAAATAGAGCTGATGTGGTCTATCCAACGTAGTTTTCTGAATCAGCACCCCAAGTAACTAAACTAAATTTAAAGGTGACTAAAAACTGATTCATAACCCTTTCGATAGTTATGTTGGCGAGTGGTCCCTGGTCAAAGTGGAAAAAAGGCTGGGAGCCACTCCTCTACACCAACACCCAAAATAATGGCTGATGTATCTTTCTTTCAATCATGCATCATTCTGAGCAGGGCTGTAGCCAGAAAAAATTTCAGGAGGGGTTGAAATTTTGTGGGGGGGGGGGGGGGGTGTTGAAACCTGCCTCCTAGCTCACGCTGAAGCAAAGAGCACAGCAGGGGGCAGAGCAGCCTTCAATAGCCTGCAGCTCCGCCCTTGTCAACCACCTCCACCAAGTCTGGCCTCCTTAATGAGAGCATTCACACCCCCCCCCCCAACTTGGTTGCTTCACTACTGTTCTGTCGCACGCTGGGCCTGTAAATAATTGTCTTTAGAACAGGATGTGCAACTTTTGCCCAGCGGGAAGCCAGGGGGCCTAAAGAGAAGTTCTCAGAGGTTTTCCACCACAAATAATCTTTAGATGGCTTGTGAAGTACAACAAAGTCTTTTATTAATGAACAATCAAACAGAAACTTCTCTTGTCTTCAGTAAAGTTAACCAAATGCTTCCAAGCTTTTTTGCAACTGGTGAATTCCTAATCTTGCCCACGAAGGACAGGCAACTGTCTTCAATAACTTCTTCTTTAAAGGAAAATCCCCTTTTTAACTTCTCCCAGGCTGACTGTAATCTAACCCTTACTGATGTGGGCTCCGCTACCGGGTCGAACTGCGTCTCGAACGCGAGTGGACCTACCAGCAAGGCAGTAGATGTTCTCCAGCTGGAGTTCTTTGGTCTTTAGGGCTGTTTTCCTGGAAATTCTTTGGAGACTCTTAAGACCTTTCTCCCCCAGAAGGTCTTAAGGGTTGAAGCTTTTGTACAGGGGAAGCTTGCACACATCCTATACATAAGCTTACCTTGCTGAGACTAACTAAAAATGGCTCCCTTCCCAATTGCCCTGAGCAAGGGGCGGGACCAAAACTTAACAATGATGGACAGGTGACTTGCCCTATGACTGCAACCAAAGAAGCCACCTATCTGCAGAGTCCCTGAAACCTAGGACTGCAAGCAAACATTTAATATAAAGCAAATAAAGTTGGAGCTCCTGGTACAGCTGTACCAGAACAACTACATCGGCTATTGCTGCAAGTAATGACTGTGTGAATAAATTGCCAATATTTGCTTGAGATAGTGCTTGCAGTTCTGGAGGGACTCTTAATTTTTTGCATCTCATAGACTTAGCATGGGGATTTGGTTAACCAGTTAAAATTCATGAGTAAACCAGGTTTTTAAAAAAATCTGAAACATTTCGGGGGGGTTGAACCCCAACCCCCCCCCCCTCGCTACAGGCCTGATTCTGAGGAACCATGACACAGCTTAAAAGTGCAGTGAGAATAACTGCTGGTAGCTAGGGCTGGGCAACCACGGAAAAATTTGTTTCTAAACTCGATTCGTTTTTTGGGGTTTTTTGCGTTTTGATATTTAAAAGATTCCGAAATTTTTCTTTAAAAAAGTTCGATATTTACGAAATTTCGTAAAATTACGAAACAATACGAAATGAATACGAAACGAATACGAAACGAATACGAATCGATTCGTTGATGGCGGACGCGACCGCGCAATACGCTAAAAAACCTCCATATGGGACAGGGGGAACTTCTGAAGCTTCCCTCTCCCTCTGTTGTTGACTGTTGGTGTGATATTTATAATATTTTTTTCACTGATTAAACAAACAACAGCTATAAAACTTGTCCCAGACATGCGGAAATAATAACGAAACGATTTCGAAACGAATACGAAACGAATACGAAGCAATTACGAAACAAATTGAAAAATTTGTTTCGTTTTTTAGATGCTCCTGAATGGTTCAATATCTCTTCGTTATAAAAAAAATAATGAATTTTTAACAAATTACGAAATTACGAAACGAAACCGCCCAGCCCTACTGGTAGCAACTGACCTCACACAAATTCTTATATGTACATACATACAGATCTTTGATTGGGAACAATATCGGATGTCAGATATCTCATATAACATTGCCAAAACAGAGGAATCAAGTCGGGGCCAACAAAGTGCAAAACCACGAGGAAGAGTGGGGTATACAACTCCCCCAAATTGGCTAAGATCCACTTGGTTTATTGTTCTATTGTGTTATACTCCAATATAAGTCATTAACATCAAACTTTTTTTCCCATCCTTATGAAGTGTTCCAAAACATGTGGAAGAGGTGTTATAAAACGTGACGTTTTCTGCAAAAGTGCAGGACCCTCCACACTGAAAATCCTGCCAGAGAATATGTGCAACAGCAGAACAAAACCAGAAGTACAGCAGATGTGTGTTTTGGGACGGTGTCCCAAAAATGATCGGCTTCAGTGGGTAATTTCTTCATGGAGTGAGGTAAAACAACTGGCATGTTTTATATGGGCTCAGACATAAAACGATTTTATATTGAAACGAAAGGCATGATTTTCTGGCAACATCTGTTGTTAAAACTGCTTTTGTCAATTATGGTATCCCTTTGAGACGAAATAGTGTAGAATCCGTTTGTTTCGGATTGTGGATGAGGCTGTACCCATGGAAAACATTAAGGTGAGTCCAATGTGGACTAGGCAAAACTATGGTGAGGTGGATCTGTAATTGGTTAAATGGACGAACCCAGAGGCTGCTCACCAATGCTTTCTCTTCATCCTGGAAAGAAGTGACGAGTGGAGTGCCATCAGCAGGGTTCCCTCCTGGGCCCGGTCCCGTTCAACATCTTTATTAATGACTTAGATGAAGGGTTAGAAGGCAGGATCATCAAGTTTGCAGATGACACCAAATTGGGAGGGATATGTGAGAGGAAGCCACAGGGAGGAGAGAGCAAGCTTGTTTTCTGCTTCCTTGGAGACTAGGACGCGGAACAATGGCTTCAAACTACAAGAGAGGACATTCCATCTGAACACGAGGAAGAACTTCCTGACTGTGAGAGCCGTTCAGCAGTGGAACTCTCTGCCCTGGAGCGTGGTGGAGGCTCCTTCTTTGGAAGCTTTTAAACAGAGGCTGGATGGCCATCTGTCAGGAGTGATTTGAATGCAATATTCCTGCTTCTTGGCAGGGGGTTGGACTGGATGGCCCATGAGGTCTCTTCCAACTCTTTGATTCTATGATGCTTGGGGTGCATCTCTTTTAATTCCTCACAATTGCGTTTCCTAGGCAGAGCTTCTAGGAGTTGCAGTTCAACAACATCTGGAGCACCAGATAAAGAAAATGGCACCAATCTGCCCAGTTTCCTTTTGGGGTTCTTCTATTGCTCCATACTTTATTTAATGTCACCCCATTTCCACACTAGATTTTGATCTTTTGGTGGAGGCGACAAGGAGAGAGACTACACAAAAATATTCCCCTTTTATATTTAAATTATGTGTATGAGTAATTTTCAACAACACAGATTTTGATATAACATTGTCCGATACACCTTTTTTTGCTTCCACTCTCAAAATACAAATGGTTCTTTTGAAAAATTTGGAAGAGAATGGTTCATAAAATAGATATTTAGTAAGTCTTCCAAGCAACATCTACTTTCTTTCCCCAACTTATTAGATAGCAGTGAAAAGGATTCTACTTTAGCCAATATTACTGTGTGTGCATCTCCCTATTAGTAAAGATGACATTAAGTCTAGTTGTGTCTGATTCTGGGTGGTGGTGTTAATTTCCATTTCTAAGCCGAAGAGCTGGGGTTGTCTGTAGACACCTCTAAAGTCATGTGGTCAGCATGACTACGTGGAGCACCGTTACCTTCCCTATTGATAGACTCACATTTGCATGTTTTCAAACTGCTAGGTTGCAGAAGCTGGAACTAACAGCAGGAGCTACCTCGCTCCCTAGATTTGAACCCCCAACCTATCTGTCAGCAGTGCCTATTGATCTACTCACATTTGCAAGTTTTTGAACTTTTTTTTCGTGTCAGGAGCATCCTGTTGTGAGAGAATTGGCCGTCTGCAAGGATGTTGCCCAGGGGATGCCCAGATGATTTTGATGTTTTATCATCCTTGTGGGAGGCTTCTCTCATGTCCGTGCAGGAGGAGCTGGAGCTGATAGGGGGAGCTCATCCGCCTCTCTCCGGATTCGAACCTGTGACCTGTCGATCTTCAGTCCTGCCGGCACAGGGCTTTAACCCACTGCACCACCGGGGTCTCCAGTTTTTGAACTGCTAGGTTGGCAGAAGCTGGGGCTAACAACAGGAGCTCACCCCACTCCCTGGAGCCCCCGGTGGCACAGTGGGTTAAACCCCTGTGCCGGTAGGACTGAAGACCGACAGGTTGCAGGTTTGAATCCGGGGAGAGGTGGATGAGCTCCCTCTACCAGCTCCAGCTCCTCATACAGGGACATGAGAGAAGCCTCCCACAAAGATGATCTGGGCATCCCCTGGGCAATCATCTGGGCATCCCCTGGGCAACGTCCTTGCAGACGGCCAATTCTCTCACACCAGAAGCGACTTGCAGATTTTCAATTCTCTCCTTACATGACAAAAAACAAAACCAAAAAAAACCCCATTCCCTGGATTCAAACTGACAACCTATCCGTCAACAGGTTCAACAGCTCAGCGGTTTAACCCACTGCACCATCAGAAGGCATTTAACTATAGCAAGGTAAAATAAATAGCAGCACCCTCCAAAATTCTGTATGGAGCATGTGAGAATAGCAAAAAAGAGGGCAGGCAAACCTGTCTTAGCATCTATCCCAGCTTACTGATTTGTTACATTGGTTCCAAAATTGAAGATCATTTTTTAAAAAATTGGGAATGTTGAAAGAAAAAGTCATCCCATGCATTTCTAGAACTAGAGTTTAGAAAGTTGACGATTCTATCTATCTGTCATCTCTCTCTCTCTCTCTCTCTCTCTCTCTCTTTCTCTCTCTCTCTCTCTCTCTCTCTCTCTCTCTCATCTCTCTATCCATCCATCCATCCATCTCTCTATCTCTCTATCTCTCTCTCTATCTCTCCATCCATCCATCCATCCATCCATCCATCCATCCATCCATCCATCCATCCATCCATCCATCTATCTATCTATCTATCTATCTATCTATCTATCTATCTATCTATCTATCTTTCTATCTACTAGGCTTGGGTAACCACGGAAAAATGTGGTTCTAAACTCGTTTTGTTTTTAGGGGGCCCTTGCGTTTCGTTTTTTTTAATAATTCCAAAATTTTCCTTTTAAAAATTTCAAATATACGAAATTTCGTAAAATTATGAATCGATTCGTTAATGGCGGATGCAATTGCGCAATATGCTAAAAAAACCTCCAAATGGGACAGGAGGAACTTCTGAAGCTTCCCTCTCCCTCTGTTGTTGACTGTTGGTGTGATAAAACACACAACAACTATAAAACTTGCACCAGACATGCGAAAATAATTACGAAATAATTTCGAAATAATTATGAAATAATAACGAAATAATTACGAAATAAATTGAAAAAATTGTTTCGAATCTAATTTACTCCTCACACTATTCCTGCATGGCTCAATATTGAATCATAAGCTAATTTAAATACGAATTAATAACGAATTATGAAATTAACGAACGAAACTGCCCAAGCTTACTATCTACCTATCTAACCATCTCTGACAGTGTATGCAATTAATATTAGTTCTGAAACATGCTGAACTACTCTTCTTCTTTGTGGATTAGGAATCTATTCTTATTGCTTCTGTGATTTGTGCTTTTGGTACCATTTTTTGTTTGTTAAAGAGGTAATAGGGAAGAACACATCAATGTTGTTAATTGAGGTATTCCTGTGTGCTTTGCCATCCAGTGTTCAGTTACCTGTGGCCCAGGTCTAAGGAGGCGAGAGATGCAATGCAGTGAGAAAAGCATCAGCGGCAAATTGATCACTTTCCCACCCCGGCGTTGCCGAAATCTCAAGAAGCCGCACATAGAACTGGAAGAGGTGTGCAACCGAGGAGCATGTCCCCTGCACCATTTGTACAGTAGAGTGTCTGGATGGTATTCTTCACCTTGGCAACAGGTAAAAGACACAAATTCATATGAAAATCTTGATTAGGCATTTGGAGACAGCATCTCTGAAGGCATTCATGAAACCAGAATTCTGTAAGATACACCAGCTCCACTGGTTGCCAATCTGCTACCAAGAGCAATTCAAAGTTCTAACTTTAGCCTATAAAGCCCTAAACAGTTCCAGCCCAGCTTACCTGTCCGAACATACCTCCCTCTATGAACCATCTCGGAGGTTAAGATCTCCTGGGGAGGTCCCGCCTGCTTTGTAAGTGCGGTTGGTGGGGAGGAGAGACAGGGTCTTCTCAGTGGTGGCTCCTCAGCTCTGGAACTCTCTCCCCAGTGAGATTTGATCAGCACTCTCCCTTCTGGCCTTTAGAAAGAGAACAAAGTCATGGTTATGGAACCAAGCTTTTGACTAGTAAAGTAACACAGTACAATTTATTTATTTACAGTATTTATATTCCGCCTTTCGCACCCCGCAGGGGACTCAGGGCGGATTACAATGTACACATATATGGCAAACATTCAATGCCAAATACACACAGCAGATATAGACAGTCAGAGGCTATTTAACTCTTTCTGGCTGCCAGGGAAGCTGTCGCTTTCATTGTCCATCTGCGATGCTGATGAAGTACTTCCGCATTCTCTGCATGCTTTGCTGGAGTCTTTTTTTATGGCCTCGTAAATTTGTTAAATTAGCCTCCCCACACATAACTGGTACCTAATTTTCCTACTTGACAGATGCAACTGTCTTTCAGGTTGCAAAGGTCGACAACAAGCTACACAATTGGTTAGAAGCTCACTCCGACCCGGACTGGCTTCGAACTCATGACCTTTTGGTCAGAAGTGATCTTACAAGAGGCAGATATTGAAAATGTGCAATCAACATTAGGAATGGCCCTGTCTACATCCTTGGATCGTGTGATTTTAATGTTTTATTAGGTGTTTTAATTCTTACATTTTATGTTTTAAATGTCCTTTTATCTCATCTTATGGTGAATTGTCCTATTGATTTTATGCTTAGTTATATGGTGTTGATTTGTGATTTTGTTTACATATGTAAGACATTGAATTTTGTCATTATTTCTGTGTAAAGCGCTTTGAGTCCCCCCAGGGGTGAGAAAAACAGTATATAAATACTGTAAGTGAGCGAGTGAGTGAGTAAGTAAGTAAGTAAGTAAAAACAGCCACTGCAATTACCATTGCTCAATCAGCAAATACATTCATGGCTAAACAATTGGTTGGATAACCTTATATTTAGCAGATGGGCTGCACTTTGCTCTCCCTTGTCCTAGACAGAAGACTCCTGCTGCTGCAAGTCAGACAGAGGTTGTTGTGCAGCTATTTTCTCATTCCCTCCTTGATAGATGTAGAGCGTTTTTTAAAAGAGGACAGAAGAAATAGTCAATTAGAAGTGGAATGTTAAAAATGGAAAACATCAGCATTTGAGCCCTTCTTAATATTCCATGTTTTGTGCAGGCCAAGCACTAGACCAGTGGTTCTCAACCTTTCTAATGCCGTGACCCCTAAATACAGTTCCTCATGTTGTGGTGACCCCCAAACATAAAATTATTTTTGTTGCTACTTTTACTACTGTTATGAATTGTAATGTAACTATCTGATGTGCAGGATGTATTTTTATTGTTGCAAATTGAACATACTTAGAGCATAGTGATTCATCACAAAAACAATATGCTTGGGGGAGTATGGACAACAGGTGATGGGATTTGCAATGCCTTCAACTGTTTCAGATCTGACTTCCACATACCACTGAGACCCCCACAAATTACAGACCTGGACCAAACTTGGAACAGAGAACCCCCATGACCAACAGAAAATACAGGAGGGGTTTGGGAGGAATTGACAGTGATTTTGGGGAGATGTAGTTTACCTACATCTGGAGAGCAAACCCAAACAACTATGGACCTGGACCAAACTTGGCAGGAATACTCATACATGCCCAAATTTGAACACTAGTGGAGTCTGGGAAAAATAGACCCTGACATTTGGGAGTTGCAGTTGCTTGGAGTTATAGTTCAGCTACCATCAAAGAACATTTTGAACACCAACAAAAATAGAATTGAACCAAATTTGGCATACAGAACTCCCATGACCAATGGAAAATACTGGAAAGGTTTGGGGGAAACAGATGCTGACATTTGGGAGTTGCAGTTGCTTGGAATTATAGTTCACCTGCTGACAAAAAGAAAACACCAACAACATGGAATTGAACCAAACTTGGCATAGAGAACTGCCATGACCAACAGAAAATACTGGAGAGGTTTGGGGGAAGTAGGGAAAATAGGATTGGAGCCATCAAAGAGCATCCCGAAAGTTTCTCCTGAACTCCTCTTATCCATTTGAAGACTCCGCTGGAAGAGAATGGAGGGGGGGGGGAGGAAGAAGAGCCCAGGGGAGAAGGAGGACGGCAGGCAGGAAGAGAACGGCGTAGGCCAGCAGCAGCATTTGCCCTCCTTCTTCCCCTCCAGGGTCTTCCTCTGCCTCTTCTCCGTTTGGAGAGGCCAAACGGAGAGGAGGAAGAGGCCAGAGGAGAGAGACGAAGGCAGGCTTCTCTGCCGCTGCTGCCCCGCGCTCCTCTTGCTGCTCTTCCAGGCTTCCACCAGAAGTGGAGGTCTGGAAGGGCAGCACGAGGAGCATGGGGCAGGGAGGCAGCAGAAAGGCTTTTCTCCTCTCCATTCTCTTCTGGCGTTTCATTCAAATGGAGTTACAGGCCTTGCTGCGGGGGGCATGGCTTCCTCTTCTTCCTCCTCCTCGCCGCCAGATTCGCTTCCCCGCCTGGCCTGAGTCCTCCCGAGTTGCCTCCGGGGCCCTGGCAGCAATTGCAAGGAGGCGGAGGGGGCGGGGCCAAAGGAGGTGTCGTTGCGACCCCTCAGAAATGGCCAATCGACCCCTCTGGGGGTCGTGACCCCCAGGTTGAGAACCGCTGCACTAGACATAAAAGCTTACCTATATGACTTTTTTTTGTATGGAACAGCAAAGGATTCTGCTTCTCCAAAGTGTTGGTGTAGCTCAGCATTTCTCAACCCAGTATTTTCTGTTGGTCATGGAGGTTCTGTGTTGGTCAAACTCTATTGTTGGTGGAGTTCAGAATGCTCTTTGATTGTAGGTGAACTATAACTCCCAGCAACTACAACTCCCAAATGTCAAGGTCTATTTTTCTCAAACTCCACCAGGGTTTACATTTGGGCATATTGAGTGTTTGTCCCAAGTTTGGTCCAGATCTGTCATTGTTTGAGTCCACAGGGCTCTCTAGATGTAGGTGAACTACAACTCCAAAACTCAAGATCAATTCCCACCTAACCTTTCCAGTATTTTCTGTTGGTCATGGGAGTTCTGTGTGCCAAGTCTGGTTCAGTTCCATCCTTGGTGGAGTTCAGAATTCTCTTTAATTGTCGGTGAACTATAAATTTATTTATTTATTTACAGTATTTATATTCCGCCCTTCTCACCCCGCAGGGGACTCAGAGCGGATTACAATGTACACATACATGGCAAACATTCAGTGCCATAGACACACAACACATATAGACAGACAGTCAGAGGCTATTTAACATTCCAATTTTCTGGCTACCAGGGGAGCTGTCACTTCATCGTCCATCTGCAACACTGATGAAGTACTTTCCACATTCCCCTCATGCTTTTGCTGGATATTTTTTATGGCCTTGTAAATTAGTTAAATTAGCCTTCCCACACATAGGTGGTACCTAATTTTCCTACTTGACAGATGCAACTGTCTTTCGGGTTGCAAAGGTCGACAACAAGCTACACAATTGGTCAGAAGCTCACTCCGACCCGGACTGGCTTCAAACTCATGACCTTTTGGTCAGAAGTGATCTTACAAGAGGCAAATATTGAAAATGTGCAATCAACATTAGGAATGGCCCGGTCTACATCCTTGGATCATGTGGTTTTAATGTTTTATTAGGTGTTTTAATTCTTACATTTCATGTTTTAAAGGTCCTTTTATCTTAAATTACTGTGAATTTCCCCATTGATTTTGTGCTTAGTTATATGGTGTTGATTTGTGATTTGGTTTACATATATAAGGCAAGGTCTATTTTTCCCAAACTCCACCAGGGTTCACATTTGGGCATATTGAGTATTTGTGCCAAGTTTGGTCCAGATCTATCATTGTTTGAGTCCACAGTGCTCTCTGGATGTAGGTGAACTACAAGTCAAAAACTCAAGGTCAATTCCCACCCAACCTTTCCAGTATTTTCTGTGGGTCATGGGAGTTCTGTGTGCCAAGTTTGGTTCAGTACCATCATTGGTGGAGTGCAGAATGGTCTTTGATTGTAGGTGAACTATGAATCCCAGCAACTACATCTCCCAAATGACAAAATCAATCCCTCCCAACCCCACCAGTATTCAAATTTGGGTGTATCAGGTATTTGTGCCAAATTTGGTCCAGTAAATGAACCCCCGGTGGCGCAGTGGGTTAAAGCACCGAGCTGCTGAGCTTGTTGATTGAAAGATCGCAGGTTCGATTCCAGGGAGCGGCGTGAGCTTCCTCTGTCAGCCCTAGCTTCTGCCAACCTAGCAGTTCGAAAACATGCAAATGTGAGTAGATCAATAGGTACCGCTCCGGCGGGAAGGTAACGGCGCTCCATGCAGTCATGCCGGCCACATGACCTTGGAGGTGTCTACGGACAACGCTGGCTCTTCGGCTTAGAAATGGAGATGAGCACCACACCCCAGAGTCAGACATGACTGGACTTAATGTCAGGGGACTACCTTTACCTTTACCTTACCGAAATGAAAATACATCCTGCATATCAGATATTTACATTACCATTTATAGCAGTAGCAAAATTAATGTTATGAAGTAGCAATGAAAATAATTTTATGATTGGGGGTCAATACAACATGAGGAACTGTATTAAGGGGTCACGGCATTAGGAAGGTTGAGAACCACTGGTATAGTGATAGTCACGTTCTTCTGACATGTCTTCATTTGAGACACCAAAATCTGCTGCCTAAGCCAGCCAACATATTCTGTTTAATGGCAGGGGTAGTCTTGCCGGGATTCCTGCTGTGTCAAGTGTAGGAACAGCAATAACAGCATATTGTTCTCACTGACTCATTTGTCTGGAAACTGATAGTCACTTACATAAAAGTGCTCCTGCTGTTTCAGCAATGCTGTCTTCCATGGTGCTTTCCATATCATTCTTCAGAGGATTGTAGTGTGGCTGAACCTACAAATCATTGTACACAACATCCGTAGAGATTTGCAAAGGCTGTCTGGAATTCCTGAAATTGTTTGATTGATTAGTGCCTCGGTTTGTAAAAAAATGCCAGAGTTTTGCAACAAGCTTCTGTATTTTTGGAATTTGCTTGACTGTATGACTCACATATCCTGGATACAAGTATTTTATTTGAAAGCCCATCCGTGTAAGTTTGAGTGCTTAATTTATTTATCTGTGACATTTATATGCCACCCTTCTCACCCCGAAGGGGACTCAGAGCGGTTTACAAGATATATATAAATACTAGGCCTGTGCGGTTTCGTTCGTTAATTCGTTAATTCGTTATTAATTCGTTATTTTTGGCATTTCCGACGCGATATCAAAACATATTTCCAAACCCGGAAGGGTTTTTAAATATCGAACCAGCAACCCCCATAGATTTAACGAGCCTCCGCTCGTTTCGTTAATGGGGTGGAGGCTGCTGGAGTGCTGGTGCCTGGGAGCCAATCCGGCGCTCCCAAGCAGTGCACCATGGGTCCGTGGCTGTCTGTTTTTGATTGGCCAGCGAGCCCTTTTAAAGCGGCTCCGCGCGGCCCGTAGCCTGCTGCAGAGGGCGAGGGAGTTTGCATTGGGTTGGCTTGGCAATGGCTGCTAGCAACTGGGATTGGATTCATTCCTTGCTGCTGTGAGTGCTGCTTGCTTCATTTGCTGTCTCTTGCCTGTGTTTGGTCCACATTTGGGCCATTTTTTGGTTAATTTTCCATTTTAAAATATTTTTAATATTATTTTTTAATATTATTTTTAATATTTTTTAATATTATTTTTAATATTATTTTTTAAAAATATTCTAAAAAAGAAAAGACTCTTCTGTTGGTGTTTTCTCTCATTTGCTGTCTCCTGCCTGTGTTTGGTCCACATTTGGGCCATTTTTTGGTTAATTTTTCATTTTAAAATATTTTTAATATTATTTTTTAAAATATTATTTTAATATTATTTTTAATATTATTTTAATATTATTTTTAAAAAATATTCTAAAAAAGAAAAGACTCTTCTGTTGGTGTGTGCTCTCATTTGCTGTATCCTGCCTGTGTTTGGTCCACATTTGTGCCATTTTTTGGTTAATTTTCCATTTTAAAATATTTTTTAATATTATTTTAATATTATTTTTTTATTTTTAATATTATTCTTAAAAAATATTCTAAAAAAGAAAAGACTCTTCTGTTGGTGTGTGCTCTCATTTGCTGTCTCCTGCCTGTGTTTGGTCCACATTTGGGCCATTTTTTGGTTAATTTTTCATTTTAAATATTTTTTAATATTTTTTAATATTATTTTTTAATATTATTTTAATATTATTCTTAAAAAATATTCTAAAAAAGAAAAGACTCTTCTGTTGGTGTGTGCTCTCATTTGCTGTCTCCTGCCTGTGTTTGGTCCACATTTGGGCCATTTTTTGGTTAATTTTCCATTTTAAAATATTTTTTAATATTATTTTAATATTATTCTTAAAATATACAAAAAATATTCTAAAAATTCGTTAATATTTACAAAATTTCGTAAATACCAAAACTTTTTTGGGGGAAAATTTTGTAATTATTTTAAATATCGAAACAAAAAAACACCCCAATTACAAATCGATTTTAGAACCAAATTTTTTCTTGATCAACCAGGCCTAGTATATACAATATATATTATATTATATTATATTATATTATATTATATTATATTATATTATATTATATTATATTATATTATATTATAGTATATTATATTATATTATATTATATTTTAGCATAGCACAGGAGACAAGTTGGAACTATCGTCTGGCCTCCCCTGTCTTCACTCTGGCTCAGAAAAAATGTTATTGCTATATATACTTGCACATAAAGGATCCTCATACATTAGGACAGGTTGGAAGAGACTCTCAAGAGCCATACACCCCACTAATCTTGACACTTTATGACCAGAGGTATTCCCTCTAGATTGATACTTTTTGCACTTTCCCTCGGCACTACTTAGAAATTTATTGCAGTTACTTGAGTCCGGATCCAGTTCTTACTCTGTTTACAGCCATGTTATTGTTTTTATGATGCTGTTGTTGTGTTTATATTATGTTTTCATTGATTGATTTTGATGCTGTTGTTTTTATTGTGATTTGGGCTTGTTCGCATGTCAGTCACACTAAGTTCCCTTGGGGAGATGGTAGCAGGGTATAAAAATAAAGTTATTATTATTATTATTATTATTATTATTATTATTATTATTATTATATTAGTTCTTCCCCTTACTGGTTATTTCAGTTTACAGGTTCTCCCATAAGCTATAGTAAATAAATAAATAGGTCAAGAAATGGCACTTTTACTCCATGTTCTTATGTCTGGCTCTTTATTTCATGATGGGAATTCAAACAATAAATTGGAAATTATTTGAAGGCATGCAACAGCAGCAGTAGTGATGAGATGGTAGCTGAAAAGTTTGCAATGAATGTGTAAAGGGCATTTTTTTTCTTTACAGTGCTCAGTGACCTGTGGTGGTGGAGTACAAATACGGGTGGTGCAGTGTCTTTACCAGGGCCAGATAGCTACAGGTTGTCTTCCTCATCAACAGCCTGCCATGTCCAGAGCCTGCAATACTAACTTCTGCCTTGTTCCAGAAAAGAAAGGTAAAGTAATACTAAGAATAATAATTTTTTGGAATGGTAAATTTGTACCAGAACAGATCTCCTAGATCAAATACTTCAAACTCAAGGGCACCAGGCATAATTTAACCCACTGTGTCATTTTAAGTTGTCCTTCAAATGCTGGACTACAGCTCTAGACATCATGACTAGAGCTGATAAGAGTTGTAATACAGTAACACCTTTGTTGTTGTTCATTTGTTCAGTTGCTCCCGACTCTTCATGACCTCATGAACCAGCCCACGCCAGAGCTCCCTGTCAGCCGTCACCACCCTCAGCTCCTTCAAGGTCAAGCCAGTCACTTCAAGGATGCCATCCATCCATCTTGCCCTTGGTCGGCCCCTCTTCCTTTTACCTTCCACTTTCCCCAGCATCATTGTCTTCTCTATGCTTTCCTGTCTTCTCATTATGTTTCCAAAATACTTCATCTTTGCCTCTAATATCCTTCCCTCCAGTGAGCAGTCGGGCTTTATTTCCTGAAGAATGGACTGGTTGGATCTTCTCGCAGTCCAAGGCACTCTCAGAACTTTCCTCCAGCACCACAGTTCAAAAGCATCTATCTTCCTTCGCTCAGCCTTCCCTAAGGTCCAGCTCTCACATCCGTAGGTGACTATGGGGAATACCATTGCTTGGACCGCCAGAAGATTGGTTGGATCTTCTGGCAGTCCAAGGCACTCTCAGAACTTTCCTCCAACACCACAATTCAAAAGCATAGAATCATAGGAGCATAGTGTCTAGGTCCAGGGAAGTAATGCTACCCCTCTATTCTGCTTTGGTTAGACCACACCTGGAATATTGTGTCCAATTCTGGGCACCACAATTCAAGAGAGATATTGACAAGCTGGAATGTGTCCAGAGGAGGGCAACTAAAATGATCAAGGGTCTGGAGAACAAGGCCTATGAGGAGCGGCTTAAGGAGCTGGGCATGTTTAGCCTGAAGAAGAGAAGGCTGAGAGGAGATATGATAGCCATGTATAAATATGTGAGAGGAAGCCACAGGGAGGAGGGAGCAAGCTTGTTTTCTGCTTCCCTAGAGACTAGGACGCGGAACAATGGCTTCAAACTACAAGAAAGCAGATTCCATCTGAACTTGAGGAAGAACTTCCTTACTGTGAGAGCCATTCAGCAGTGGAACTCTCTGCCCTGGAGTGTGGTGGAGGCTCCTTCTTTGGAAGCTTTTAAACAGAGGCTGGATGGCCATCTGTCAGGGGTGATTTGAGTGCAATATTCCTGCTTCTTGGCAGGGGGTTGGACTGGATGGCCCATGAGGTCTCTTCCAACTCTTTGATTCTATGATTCTATGATTTCAGTGTGGGAATTTATTTTTATGCAGATCTTGTCCAAAGCATGGGGTTTCTTATCCATTCATTTATACTTTAGTGCATGAATTTTTTCAAGTCTTCTGGAATTATGCCAATGAATAATTTATTTCCATTTTCTTCCATTTTCCCACTTAAAATACACTCTAGTTGGCTAACAAACTTCGTTGGCAACAAATTCTGCAATCAAATTACTAAAACCAGTAGAATAACCCTCAAAACTGGGTTGTTATAGGTTTTTTGGGCTATATGGCCATGTTCTAGAAGCATTCTCTCCTGACGTTTCTCCTGCATCTATGGCAAGCATCCTTAGAGGTTGTGAGGTCTGTTGGCCACGGTAGTCCACACTCTGGTTGCATCCCACATAGGCTACTGCAATGCACTCTACATGGGGCTGCCTTTGAAGACTGTTTGGAAGCTTCAAATGGTCCTCACAACCTCTGAGGATGCTTGCCATAGATTGAGATGAAATGTCAGGAGAGAATGTTTCTAGAACATGGCCCGAAAAACCTACAACAGCCCAGTGATTCCTGCCATGAAAGCCTTCGACAACCCTCAATACTGTTTAAGGGATCTTTAAACAATGTGTGTTTTGACACTAGTGAAAAATTAAAAAAAAATAAGAATGAGAACTGATGGCATTTCTGAGGCGAGACAATATTGTTCTCTAGAGACAGCACAGGAGAACTCCTGAATGTCCATTAGGTAGATCTTCAGAAGGAATAGCATTCTTGAGGACCTGTCCTGAAGATCTTAAAGGTAAAGGTAAAGGTAGTCCCCTGACATTAAGTCCAGTCATGTCTGACTCTGGGGTGTGGTGCTCATCTCCATTTCTAAGCCGAAGAGCCAGCGTTGTCCGTAGACACCTCCAAGGTCATGTGGCCGGCATGACTGCATGGAGCGAAGATCTTAACATCGAGATAAGAGTGCAGACAGGCCTTTTGATTTGGTGCTGGGTTCATCTATGTTTATTTTTGCCCAGCCTTTTTTTTAAAACCCCTTTATTTCCACATACCATTTCTCCCTATTTTCCCTCTCTCCTCTTATTGGAAAGAGTGTATCCAATGTCTGTTATTTATTTGCTTTGGCCCCAACCCTCCCCTCTCTTTACAGCTGTAGAAGTCCTTTTGACTTTATTGCAACTAGGTCTTTGGGGCCTTGGAGATCAATTATCTCTTCACCATGCTCTAAGTCTCTGTCTCCACCATTGCACACAGCCAGCTGTGCTGGAACTGTATTGAAGCCAGTCACTTTCAATTACCCACCACATAGTTTCAGCCCAGTGAATCATTGGGGAGAGATCATAGGAAAGAAATGAGGCTTTCAGGGAGAGTTAGCATGCTTTCCCTAGGCAAGCTGGACCTGCTCTTCAGCTCATTTCCATCATTTGACTTGAGAGTCTCATAGCCTTTGGGTCAACTTGGTTTTCTTGGATGTGAAAAGCAAATATGTGTACCCTATGTGAACCAAACATAAAAGAAAGAACAAGCTTCCCATCCAATAGTTCATCTGAAGTTGATGCAACTGAGGTCCCTTCCATGCCTCCCTGTATTCTAGGATCTGATCCCAGATCATCTACTTTAAACTGGATTATATGAGTCTCCACTGGGATAAGCAGATCATCTGGGATTAGATTGTGGGATATGGGGCATGAGTGGAAACCATCAGGAGTGGAGCTTGTCAAATGTTTGAATCTACTAACTTCCTAATCTTATACTTCAACCCTGTAGACAATCCATGGTGTGTAAAACCATGGTCTGGTTGAACATTACAGATGCATATATAATTTTTAGTTGTAACTGATGAAAGTATTCGGGACATATATCTTCCATGATCTCTTCTCTGAACTATCTGCACTATCTGAACTATCTGAAGTTCTGAACTATCTCTTCTCTGAACTATCTGCATTTTTGTAGAGTGGGCATCTATCCCCATGAAGATGCAATGCCCAAAGGGGGAGAGGGACCAGGCAGAAGCCCAATGTGTTCCTGAAACCAACTTCAAGAAAGGACAGAGATGGAATTGCATTCCCCCTGAAATCTCAGCTCTGCGTCTTATGTGTTATGTTGGATTCAGAGCTGAGTCTGGCTGCCCAAGTTTCAGCAGTGGCCTGAACTATTGTGCCAGCCCTGCTATCCTTGGAGATGTCAGGTTTGGCCATGATGGCACACGCCTTGATACCCTCCCATCCAGGCTGCTTCCATACACTTTATGGCAGGGGTCCTCAAACGTTTTGAACAAAGGGCCAGGTCACAGACCCTCAAACTGTTGGAGGGCTGGATTATAATTTGAAAAAAAACATGAATGAATTCCTATGCACACTGCACATATCTTATTTTGTTAGAGACCCTAAATTGGGTCTTCTTAGGTCCGTGCAGTCACGGGAACATGTAAGGAAGGAGACAATCCCAAAAGAGATAAAAAAACAAGGTTTATTTTTAATTTCTTCATGAAGAAGACTGACAGCCTGGTAGCATGCGCAGATGCTACTCTTCAAGTGACTGCCGTGCCCTCTTGGCTTTTGACCACCGTTATATAACCTCAAGTAAACAAGAACATTTTTTTGTCATGGAAAGTACTCTCTTTTCAGCCCCTCTCCCTTGACCTTTTGATGGAAAGTACCTTCTTGTACATGCAGACTCTGCACTTTACCACAACCTTTGAAGTTAACCACAACACAACATCCTGTGTAAGAAAGTACCTTCTTGTACCTCTACATGTCACATCTTGTTTCTTAAAAACATTTTCTTCCGTATTGCTCTTTTTCTATGGAGAAAGGGTATATTTCTCTTTTGTTGTTAATTTCATTCAAAGCCCCTTGCTTAGTATTTGCAAATTTCGCTCAAAGACACTTTCAATTTGTAGTGCAAAAACACTTAAAAACAATACAATAATTAAAATGAAGAACAATTTCAACACATATAAAATTATTAGTATTTCAATGGAAAGTGTGGACCTACTTTTGGCTGATGAGATAGGATTGTTGATGTTGTATGCTTTCAAGTCGTTTCAGACTTAGTTTAACCCTGAGCGAGGGCCGGGTAAATGACCTTGGAGGGCCGCATCTGGCCCCCGGGCCATAGTTTGAGGACCCCTGCTCTATGGACCCCTCCATACAGCCCTATATCCCAGAATATCAAGGCAGAACATCCCACAATATCTGCTTTAACTGGGTTATCTGAGTCCACACTCAGATAATGTTGGATTTCCTGCCTTGATATTCTGGGATATAGGGCTGTGTGGAAGGGCTCTAAGTAGAACTGAATATTCCCTCAACATAGGGTTGTATGGTCCTATGCCTTTATATTCATAAAGAATAGCAGCAAGGCACAACACATGCCAATGGTGGGCACTGTTGTGCAATGTGGAACTCAGCGCACAAGCATAACACACAACAAACACATGTCATGGGAAAACTCAACTTCCATTACTATCAGTCTGCTAGGTTTCAGTATGCAATACTGTAAAATAAATATATCTCCAATTTTCTTACTGCAGATGATCCTTCTTGTGTGGATTTCTTTGCTTGGTGCCACCTTGTCCCCCAACACGGTGTCTGTAACCACAAGTTTTACGGCAAACAATGCTGCAAATCATGCACGTGGAAGAACTGATTTAAATGGTCGGAGTCTGACTTTTTGGTGCCATCGAGTCTTCCTCTCTGCAGATGCTGAGATGTTTTGTGAAGCTTCTGGACCTGAATGTCACCGAGATTGCCAGTGAAAGTGTTTTGGGTGTTACAGAGCAGTATCTGCTCTGGTAAAATTGGTGCTGAATCAGACATACAGGAAATCTGCACTGTTACCAAACAACTAGGGTGTTGTTGAACATTAGTAGATTAGGTGCTTTCTGTATTTTCTGTTGTCCTTGGTTGAAAGAGAGAAGAAAACCAACTGCATTGTTGATGGCCAAAGCCAGTCTCCAAAATGAGCTGGCATGTTTGGCATGGTGCTCTTAACCATCAGAATTATGACAGTGCCATAACGAACTGTTGGAACTGTTGATGCTGGTTCTCTGAAAGAAGGAGAAGATGATCAAGATAAATTCCATTAGTGGCTATGGAGACAATGCATTGTGCTCCCTAACAAAGGATTGATGTTATCCACAATAATCAAATATGCTGCAATATCTAAATCAGTGGTCCCCAAGAACAAAAATATGGTCCGCGGCCTCACCATTACTACACTGTTGCCTCGAAACCACGTGGCAACAAGAGCAACTGGTCTTGCAAAACCCTCTTATACTGCCAAGACTACAGAGATGTCGGGAGAGGAGAGGCTGACTACCCACAAAAGATTACTACTACCATATCAGCTCTAGATTATTAAATATAGTTTTCTGTGGGTGAACAGATGGTGACTACTGGATGACATATGTTTTGTATCAGAAACTAGAGCTGATGTAGTCTACTCAATACAATTTTCTGAATCGGCACCCCAAATCACCAAACTGAATCTAAAGTTTACCCTTTTGGTACTAACGTTGGAAAGTGGTCCCTGGTCAAAGTAGTCCTTGGTCAAGGGGTCCCTGATCAAAAAAAAATTGGGAACCACTGATCTAAATAATAGGCATGTCCAAGCATGGTTCTAAATCAGTGGTTCTCAACCTGGGGTCCCCAGATGTTTTTGGCCTTCAACTCCCAGAAATCCTAACAGCTGGTAAACTGGCTGGGATTTCTGGGAGTTGTAGGCCAAAAACATCTGGGGACCCCAGGTTGAGAACTACTGTTCTAAATGGTTCTAAAGTACTTACAAAACTAAAGTTCTGGTGGTGAAAACTAGGGGGCGGTGGTGCTTTGCTTCTACAGTGTTGCTAAAGTGGGAAATTGACTATACCCACTTGTTTGCTCCAGCAGAACCCACAGTGACACAACCTCCAGTTAAAAACTTACTAATAGAAGCCCTGCCCCATTGGCCCCCAGTTGCAGAATATGAGATCAGATATATCATAAACGACCTAAAGACCAATAAAGCCCCAGGGGAAGATTATCTACCTGCTGAGCTATTCAAAAAACACCTGGATTGGTGGGCCCCTCTATTAGCAGGCCTATTTACACACATAAATAACACCTGCCAGATCCCAGTTGGTTGGAAGATGGCAATAGTTGTTCCCATATACAAAAAAAGAAACAAAAAAGATCTCAGTTCTTATCGACCAATTACTTTAATTGACATAATGGCCAAAATATATGCCAAATACCTCCTGAGCAGAGTTGAGGGCTGGGAAAAAGAAAAACACATACTTGTTGAAGAACAGGCCGGTTTCAGACAGAGTAGATCAACTTTTGACAATTGCTTTGTGTTAAAACACATAATTGAAAACTATGCTAACAAAGGGAAACAACTGTATGCTGTCTTTATAGATCTTAGTGCAGCATTCGATACTGTAAATAGAGAGATGTTATGGATGAAATTAACTGATCTCAATATGGAACCCAGACTGCTGGCACTGATCAAAGAACTTTACACAAACACCACCTGAAAGTGCGATTTGGGATGCAAGGAGCCATGACAAACAGTGTTGAGACACATAAGGGGGTCAGACAAGGCTGCATATTAAAACCACTGTTATTTAGCTTATATGTAAATGACCTACCTGAACAGTTGAAGGGCCCAGAGGTACATATTAGGGCTGTCCAACCACGGAAAAATTTGTTTCTAAACTCGATTCGTTTTTAGGGGTTTTTTTTGCGTTTCGTTATTTAAAAGAATTCCGAAATTTTTCTTTTAAAAAGTTCGATATTTACGAAATTTCGGAAATTACGAAACAATTTCGAAACAATAACGAATCGATTCATTAATGGCGGACGCGATTGCGCAATACGCTAAAAAACCCTCCAAATGGGACAGGGGGAACTACTGAAGCTTCCCTCTCCCTCCGTTGTTGACTGTTGGTGTGATAATTTTTTTTTATCACTGATAAAACAAACAACGACTATAAAACTTGCACCAGACATACGGAAATAATAACGAAATAATAACGAAACAATTTCGAAACAATTACGAAACAATTTCAAAACAATTACGAAACGAATTGGAAAGATTCGTTTCGTTTTTTAGTTGCTCCTGAATGGTTCAATATCACTTCGTTATAAAAAAAAACGAATTAATAACAAATTACGAAATTAACGAATGAAACCGCCCAGCCCTAGTACATATGCCTCAGGTGTTCAAAACCCCTATTAACATCCTGTTATATGCTGATGACATGATATTACTGTCATATTCACAAGTCGGGCTACGTAGGTTGCTGAGAAGATTTAATTCCTATTGTCATGAGAACTCCCTAACTATTAACAAATCGAAGTAAAAAATAATGGTATTTGGCAAACGACCCAATAGACACAGATGGCTTCTGGATGGTGAACCAATAGAGCAAGTTTGCACTTTTACATACCTAGGTGTCGTTTTTCCCCGAGACTGGTTCTTGGCTCCCACATCATCAAAGGAGCTCAGCCAGAGCGAGAGCACGGGCAAACCAACTGCTAAAATTAACAAACCATAGCCAACCAGGTTCCTTAGACCCGCTTCTTAAAATATATAAAGCCAAGGTTACCCCATGCTCCTGTATGGGCCCTAAACCAGGTATCATTTTTGGTGATTTTTATGACAGAACCTATTAGGAATTGCCATTTATAAGCAAAATTTTGAAAGTTGTGTTAGAGTTCTGAAAGTTTCACCACCAGAACTTTAGCAACACTGTAGAAGCAAAGCACCAGCGCCCCCTAGTTTTCACCACCAGAACTTTAGTTTTCTAAGTAGTTTAGAACCATTTAGAACCATGGTTGCACATGCCTACAAAATAAAACAAAGCTGGGGCACCTTTCTATGTTTCTATACATTGCTACTCATAGATGTGGCACATGGACTGGTACCAATCCATGAGTCATTGGCTGAAAGTCCCACACAAGTTTCCAGGACAGAAAGAACAAGTAGAAGCCAATAGCTGGAAACATGGTACTGGTGCTTGACATATGGGGGAAGGGATTGGCAATCCCCATTTTATGTAGTTTGAGGTTGCTGTTTTCATCTCAATGTCTCACAATTCCTTTGTGTTTACTGTAGTAATTAGACCATCTGGGAACTGAAGTTTGAAAATGTCCCCCACCCCTGAGATAAAATGTGCTTTTCAATTTCACTTGCTGCTGGGAAAGCAAGGGTTATAGCATGGTAGGAGTTTTAATTTTACTATGTTCACCTCTCCACTTTGAATAGTACTCAGGCATGGTTTATGAACCACTAGAGAGGCAGGCACTCATTGAGTTGCTTCATCCAGAAGAACAATGCGGTTTTTTTTGTGTAGTATGAGCAAAATAGAATTTCATACTTCAGCTAACTTATGAAATTCACACATTTGCTGTTACGCCTCATTATTATTGGTGCTGAATCATAATTGTTGCCAGAATTCCCACAATTTTATGGACATGCTTAATAAGTCACCAGTCAATTTGAACAATTTAGGAACCTGTAGAATTGGGATGTGGAAAATATAGGCTGAGATTATGCATCAACAGATGTAGCTACCATGACAAACTCCATAGTCTAAGCTACTTCTGCTGGTGCCACCCTACTCAAAACCTACCTTTGAAACCAGGCAGTACAATGTTGTTGTTCATTCGTTCAGTCGTCTCCGACTCTTTGTGACCTCATGGACCAGCCCACGCCAGAGCTCCCTGTCGGCCGTCACCACCCCCAGCTCCTTCAAGGTCAGTCCAGTCACTTCAAGGATGCCATCCATCCATCTTGCCCTTGGTCGGACCCTCTTCCTTTTCCCTTCCATTTTCTTCAGCATCATTGTCTTCTCCAACCTTTCCTGTCTCCTCATGATGTACTTCAACTTTGTCTCTAGTATCCTTCCCTCCAATGAGCAGTCAGGCTTTATTTCCTAGAGGATGGACTGGTTGGATCTTCTCGCAGTCCAAGGCACTCTCAGAACTTTCCTCCAACACCACAGCTCAAAAGCATCTATCTTCCTTCGCTCAGCCTTCCCTAAGGTCCAGCTCTCACATCCGTAGGTTACTACAGGGAATACCATGGCTTTGACTATGCGGATTTTTGTTGCCAGTGTGATGTCTCTACTCTTTACTATTTTATCGAGACTGGACATTGCTCTCCTCCCAAGAAGTAAGCGTCCCAAGAAGTACGGCAGTACAATAACCTAACTAAAAAATTGAACATTGAGAAATGGTGACTGGAGTAGTTTCCCAGCCATGGAATCCATTGAGAAGAGAAAAATTATGGGTCTTTCATTTCTCAGTATCCAGATCTGCAGCCCCTTGAAAATTCTCTAGTTAGGCACTGCCTAGTTTAAGACATTTGGGAGGCTATATTCTGTCATTAAGTAAAGTAAAGGTAAAGGTTTTCCCCAAAGTTAAGTCTAGTTGAGTTTGACTCTGTGGGGTGGTGCTCATCTCCACTTCTAAGTCGAAAAAGTCTTAGAAGACTACGTGTGAAAAAGATCTTGGAGTCCTCGTGGACAACAAGTTAAACATAAGCCAGGAATGTGATGTGGCGGCAAAAAAAGCCAATGGGATTTTGGCCTGCATTAATAGGAGCATAGTGTCTAGGTCTAGGGAAGTAATGCTACCCCTCTATTCTGCTTTGGTTGGACCACACCTGGAATATTGTGACCAATTCTGGGCACCACAATTCAAGAGAGATATTGACAAGCTGGAATGTGTCCAGAGGAGGGCGACTAAAATGATCAAGGGTCTGGAGAACAAGCCCTATGAGGAGTGGCTTAAGGAGCTGGGCAGGTTTAGCCTGAAGTAGAGAAGTCTGAGAGGAGATATGATAGCCATGTATAAATATGTGAGAGGAAGCCACAGGGAGGAGGGAGCAAGCTTGTTTTCTGCTTCCCTGGAGACTAGGACGCGGAACAATTGCTTCAAACTACAAGAGAGGAGATTCCATCTGAACACGAGGAAGAACTTCCTGACTGTGAGAGCCGTTCAGCAGTGGAACTCTCTGCCCCGGAGTGTGGTGGAGGCTCCTTCTTTGGAAGCTTTTAAACAGAGGCTGGATGGCCATCTGTCAGGGGTGATTTGAATGCAATATTCCTGCTTCTTGGCAGGGGGTTGGACTGGATGGCCGTTGAGGTCTCTTCCAACTCTTTGATTCTATGATTCTATGAATACACAAATATTCAAAAAAATCTGTTAACTGATGAGGAAGGCAAAGAAAGCTGTAACTCATTAAAATCTGAAGTAGCCCTTGGTGGTGCAATGGGTTAAACCCTTCTGCTGGCAGGACTGCTGATCAAAAGGTTGGTGGTTCGAATCCAGGGAGCGGGGTGAGCTCCCGTCTGTCAGCTCCAGCTTCTCATGTCGGGACATGAGAGAAGCCTCCCACAGGGTGGTAAAACATCCATGCATTCCTTGGGCAACATCCTTGAAGATGGCCAATTCTCTCACACCAGAAGCGACTTGCAGTTTCTCAAGTTGCTCCTGATACACACAAAAAAATCTAAATTTGGAGGGATCTACCGTCTCCATGGGAGCCCCCGGTGGCGCAATGGGTTAAAGCACTGAGCTGCTGAGCTTGTTGATGGAAAGGTCGCAGGT